AACTGTTACTCATAGAAATCGTCCTACTATATCTGATTGCAGTTAACTACCTTGGACAGAAATAAAATCAAGAGTAGCGCTGCGTGTACAAAAAAAAAAAAAAAACAAAGGGAGAGAGTTTAACACGGCCAGACCATTGGGACTTGGAGTGACACCAGCAGTGGCCCACTGCAGAAGAGGCAAGTCTGCAGAGAAACCGGGTAATAGTGCTTTCAACGTTTCCCCCCCGCTCGAATGAGTCCCACGGTTCTTTAAGTTATTCTCTTGACTGATAGAATAAAATATATCCAGATTCTGAATTTTTTGATATATCTGATGTCAGACCATAGAATTCTTCAATAGCTTGAGCATCTATTTTCTGCAATAAAGGAGAAATAGGAGAATACAATTATTTAACATGATTCCAGGGAGAAGGGAAGAAAAGAAACTAATGGAGCATGCGCTAAAATGCAAGGACCACTATTTATTATCGAATCGAGATTGGGAACATTTAACAGCAAATGGATCATTCCATAGACGTAGGCGGAGGGACATCGTTTCGTAAGTGGCAAAAGGCCACCCTTTCCTCTGCCAGCGACTGTATGTTGGCACTCTCTGAGGAAGCCAAGACTTCTGTCTTTCAAACTGGGGCCTCCAACTCCTGGGCTCAAGCGATCCTCCTGCCTCAGCCTCCCCAGTAGCTGGGACTACAGGCATGCGCCACCATGCCTGGCTAAGTTTTTCTATATAGTTTTAGTTGGCCAATTAATTTCTTTCTATTTTTAGTAGAGACGGGGTCTCCCTCTTGCTCAGGTTGGTCTCAAACTCCTGACCTTGAGCGATCCTCCTGCCTTGGCCCCCCAGAGTGCTGGGATTACAGGCCCTAGCCACCACGCCCGGCCTGCAGTTTTTCTTTATAGAATATTCTTCTCACAGGTCCATCACTCAGTCACAGGTCCTGATCTCAGAATGTCACTACACACTTTCCATGCAATATTTCCCTCCATATATGCAAACGAAGAGAAAAATCCTATGTCCAATGTAATTCAAGTTCTATTACGTAGTCTATAGCTTGGGTCAGCAGACATGATTACAAATAAATGCCTCTAGGCTGGGCGCGGTGGCTCACGCCTGTAATCCTAGCACTCTGGGAGGCCGAGGCAGGAGGATCACTCGAGGTCAAGAGTTGGAAACCAGCCTGAGCAAGAGTGAGACCCCATCTGTACTAAAAAAGAAAGAAATTAATTGGCCAGTTAAAAATATATAGAAAAAATGAGCCGGGCATGGTGGCGCATGCCTGTAGTCCCAGCTACTCGGGAGGCTGAGGCAGGAGGATCGCTTGAGCCCAGGAGATTGAGGTTGCTGTGAGCGAGGCTGACGCCACGGCACTCACTCTAGCCCGGGCAACAGAGTGAGACTCTGTCTCAAAAACAAACACAAACAAAAAACCAAGCTAGTTAGGAATAGGAGTGGCCTTGCCTCTCTTCTCTCTCAGGTTTCAACACTCTAGCACCCCCTCCCCCACACGCACACCATGTGACGCTTTTGTTTTCATTCAACCACCCTTCAGAGGCCCAAGCTTCAGAGGTGGGCAGGACGGAATCTGCAGGCAGCCCATCTCTCCTTGCACGCTCTCTTGCGCCACCGCCCCGCCTTGCAGGAAGGTGAGGACCTGTTTTGACTCCAGCCTTGGATTGGATTCAAGGTCACTGTTGTCAGGTTTAGGGGTTCCGTTTTATTTCTGTAACCAAATCCACAATGTATATTAAATTAAGAGCAAGACTTGCTGCAGCCCATCTTCCAAGACCAGGTGGGCGTTTTTTTTAACCCCTGCCACTAGAGGGCACCAGACCCTGCGCCTGGTCCTCAATGGCCTCCATTCGTCACCGTGCCCTCTCCACCTCCTTGAGACTGACCACCTGGCCCTCCCCATCCCATGGGCTCCAGAAAAGCTCCTTCAGCACCACATAACAAGACCCAGACAGAACGCGGATCTATAAACAATGAACAAAGCCTGTCAGTTTTTCCAGGCCATGCCCCTATCTCCATGTTACATGCTTTCCAGAAGTTTCGTACAACATTAACAACCTCTCCTCTGACTTGTTTTATTTATTTTTTATTTTTAGCAGACGGATAGTCTCACCTCTGTTGCCCGGGCTAGAATGCCGTGGCGTCAAGCCTGCTCACAGCACTCCCACTTCCTGGCTCAAGCAATCCTCCTGCCTCAGCCTCCCGAGTAGCTGGGACTACAGGCATGCGCCACCATGCGTGGCTCTTTTTTTTTCTATATATTTCTAGTTGGCCAATTCACTTCTTTCTATTTATAGTAGAGCGGGGTCCTCGCTCTTGCTCAGGCTGGTCCTCGAATCCTGACCTTGAGCGATCCTCCTGCCTTGCCTCCTGGAGTGCTGAATCACAGGCGGGGAGCCACCGCACCGGGCCAGAGTTCTTTCTTTATAAACCTTCAGAGATTTCTCAGTGGACATGTCACTTAAAATCCCAAGTCAGTCAATGAACATGCAGGAGAAGGGTTTCTTCTCCATTCTGTAGCCTCCAACCCACCGGCTGCTGAGGCCTCATAAGTCCAAGCTGGCACGTTCAACATCCCTAGGCTCCACTTACTGTTTATACTCTGGGCTTTGGGGTAGCAAAAGACAGAAAAATATGCAGAAGCAATTTCTTTTCAAAGAGCTTTCAAACAAACTTTTCAGACATTTATGCCACAGGGTGAGATGGGGAAGAGTCTTCTTCACATGGTTTATTTAAAAAAAAAAAAACTCCTTCCCTAGCACTCTGGGAGCCGAGGCAGGAGGATCGCTCAAGGTCCAGGAGTTCGAAACCAGCTGAGCAAGAGCAAACACCCGGTCTCTACTATAAATAGAAAAGAAATTAATTGGCCAACTAATATATATAGAAAAATCAGCGGCATGGTGGGCATGCCTGTAGTCCCAGCTACTGGGAGGCTGAGGCAGGAGGATCGCTTGAGCCCAGGAGTTGAGGTTGCTGTGAGCTAGGCTGACGCCACGGCACTCACTCTAGCCTGGGCGACAGAGTGAGACTCTGTCTCAAAAAAACAAAACAAAACAACAAAAAGAATCTTTCTAACCCCATCGAAGTGGAAAACAGGCCACTCTCAGCCTGAAGAAGAGCTCTAGAATGCAGACTTCGCTTACTGCAGAAGGGATGAAAGCTCACATCTCTTAAAGTCTGGTGTTTGCTTTCAGTGTCTCGCACAGAATGTTGCTCCGGCAAGGTGCATCAGGAGAGAGTGTGGAAGACAAATCACAGCTGAGCAGAATCACAGGAGGAGACTTGGTAAATATATAGAAATGGCGTGGCTTCACTATCAAATTATTTTGCTTCCCAGCCAAGTCAGTTCAAGTCTCCGTTTTCTTCTGTCGAAGCTTCCTACTACTACGAGGAGGTAAGAACAAAACAGAGTTGCAACTGCAGCACTGAGCGCGCCAAACTATCCTACCAGGGAGACTTCTAGAGAATTCCACGTTGCCCTTACCTACATCCTATATGATCAACTCCGGGAGAGAAAAGTGCAAGATGCATCTGCATGACTTACAACTTGAACATGATACCTTAAGGGTGTTAATAAATACATACTTATGATTATGTGAGAAATAACGCACATAAATTGGGAGTCCTTTTTGCAAACCTATTGTCATTTCTGACTCATGATGTCCGACAGCCTAAAAACTCTCGTGCCCGGCTTACTCTGTGAAGTCTAAGATAGGCTCTAAGTACTTTGGTAATAATGTAAACAGACCGTTTAGAATCACAGATATTTGATGCATAAAATCCACGATAAAACTTTCAACATACCGGCTCTTTGAACATGAGAATTAAACGGCAAAACGTGAAAGTCCACTGCTGCAACTTGAGCATTTGACGCTTTGCTTCTAAAATGGCATCGTCCCCCTCTAGAAGGAGCTAGAGCGCAGCTAAGCAATCCACCAAAAGCAGCCAGGGAGAAGGTGGGGTTCAGCAAAAAAGGGAGGGCCATGCTTTATCTGACAGTCCACTTCGAGCTGACCACCAAACCAAGTTGCAAAGAGGCTGCCAGACTCAAGCTATTTCCGCAAAGTGAATGTTACATTTCTTCCTGAGCAGGCTTTTCTCTGAGTCCAAGAATGATCAGAGGGGCCGGGCGGATGGCTCACACCTGTAACCCTAGCACTCTGGGAGCCGAGGCGGGCGGATTACTCGAGGTCAGGAGTTCGAAACCAGCACTGAGCAAGAGCGAGACCCTGTCTCTACTATAAATAGAAAGAAATTAATTGGCCAACTAATATATATAGAAAAAATTAGCCGGGCATGGTAGTGCGTGCCTGTAGTCCCAGCTACTTGGGAGGCTGAGGCAGGAGGATTGCTTGAGCCAGGAGATTTGAGGTTGCTGTGAGCTAGGCTGACGCCACGGCACTCACTCTAGCCTGGGCAACAAAGTGAGACTCTGTCCTCAAAAAAAAAAAAAAGAAAAGAAAGAAATGATCAGAGGGACTCTGACCACTTCGCTCTCTTATGCTCAACTTCTATCACGAAGCTCACACACAGCAGGCGGCACATGTTAATTAAAAATCCTCCGCATGCCGGGGGTATCTTTAGGAACCCGTCTAAGTGGGTTGTGTTTTAGTGCTACCCTCACAGTGACCAATGTCCCTCAGGAAACAACAAAAATTGACTCAGCAAACATTTTATCTTCATGCAAATACAAAGCAATGGAACGGAAGGCTGCATTTCCTTGTTCAAGGGATTTTTAAGTATCAATGAAAAGAGAGGAGATATTGGAGAAATGACCCTCTCATTCCAGAAATGGTGTCACCCTGGCAGTGACAGGCCTACTTTGTGACCTTATTTGACAGAGGAGAAAATGAGGCCTAGAAAAAGGGAAACACATTCCAAAAAGGTCCATGCCATGAAGAGGTCAAGTTCAAGTGCATTGCCTGGGAGAAGACGGACAGGAGCCAGGAGACCCCCACTTGCAGCAATTTTCCACTCTTGGTCTGCAGGGTGTGGTCCCACAGTCGGGCCCGGCATGTGTCCAGATGACAAGTCTGTCCACCCACAGATGCGCTGGGGTGGCCAGCTGGGAAAGCGGCCCTAACGGGAGCTGTGGGCTTCTCTGAGACCACAGGGCGTGGCCTGCCACTGTGCCCTTCCAGGGCAAGGATGGTGTGATCCCGGCGAGGGGAATTCTCGTAGCTGGGGGCCTGACAGCCCAGGAGCTGAAGTCGGCTGTCACGGACACCAGGACTGGACCCACGCTCCTCCTCCTCCTGGAAACCACCAGATGCTGACGGGATCCCAGAGCTGGAGCTGCTTCCTTGTGCGGGATTGGATCTTTCATCTCCTGACTGGTAAAGGGGCTTGGGGTAGTCTATGCAAAGTCCCAGACAGGGAATTATTTCACCGGAGCCTAGTGAATGACACTAACTTCTTTCTTTCACCAATATTCTCAACTTGCTATTCCCAGATTATCAGTTTCTGGGTTAATTCTGTTGATCTTTTTCCACTCAAAAGACTGTGAGCTTATCGCCAGAGATTAATTGTATCAACCTGGATAGTAACGCTGTCTTTATACGTTACAATGACCAGAAGGTTTCTTTGCATTTTCACTGCTATGAAATGAAGTTTTGTAATGAATACCTGGATATGAGACTTGTCACTGACTCACACTTTATAAATTAAAGGATTTGAAGTTCAAGGTGTAGCATCGCCCAGATATAATTCTCATAGGAAGAGAATTCCTATTTTTTTTTATTTATTTTTGCAACATTTTAGAGGCAGGGTGTTAAACTGATTGAAATTTCACAAGATTTGACATTATTGCCTTAAAGGTGCTTGAATTGGTTACATAAAAAAAAAAATGAAAGTACAGATTATTTTAAATAAAAACTACAATGTTTTTGTAAGCAAGAAAATAGTAAGAATGCCCCACAAATACAGTAACTATTTTGGTAACACAGAAAGGAAGCCAAAAATAAATTAATGTAATACTGGAAAACAGAAATTTAATTAGGCAGAAAAGGGAAATAATTTTCCCTGACCCAGTGCTGTTCACATGAGTTAGTCACAACAGTGCTGATAATGCCTTGACCATGAAATAGCAAACGAAGGGACAAACATTTAGTGCCAGTATTTTTATACGCATGAACATACAAAGTCGATCAAAGCAATGTTTAAAAGATAGAATCCATCTGTAATAAAGCTACGCTCCAATATCTAAAATAAGCCCTAACCTCCAGTTAGACACAGTTCATTATGAGGCATGCCCATGAATTAAGGGTTTCCATGAAATAAATGCATAGGGACCACTTTTGGCATTTTTTTTAATTTTTCCATTTCACCTTAAATGCAAAATAGACGGAGGCACAAAAAATCAAATCTGATTGCTTCCTATTCAGACCCAACGCCGCGACGCATTGGTTCCCTGCTCTCCTCAAAACCGCCCACCTCCTACTGCCTCTGGATGCAAATTGCATCACATAACAGCGACTGGATGCAGCATTTTACCCAAATTTGCTCTGATACAAATGACTTTTCAGCATATGGTATACCGTTATCTAAGATGCTAAACTAGTTAAGTAACCATAAAGCAGATATTTTCTTTTGTTTATTTTTTTTAACATGTAAAATGCTGTAACTTGTTTAAAACACCCAGCCGTTAAAAGCAATACAGCAGGCCCCTTATGCCGGCCGGAAATGACACACAAGCCCTTGCCTGAGCCTTTGTGTACTGTTGACCTCAGAAAGGTCTCAGATCTCCCACGCTGTCCCCTGCCTTTGCACCGTAAATGAAAAATAAAGACACCTTTGCATGCTATTGTCTTTACATAAAGAGAAATGACTGGGGTCAAGGATGTAGCTGCTAGTGTTTGTTTCATTTGTTGAAGAAGAGGGGAAAAAAAAAATGACCAGATAGCTCTAAATTTTTACAAAACTGATGGAGTTTTTGTGTGCTGGGAATTTTTGTGTGATGGGAGAAAGTGTGTTTTGGTCTTTTCCAATCTTCTTTTCGTATCACATGATCGTTTTATGTCTTTGCATATTCCATGCTTATCTTTTTTTTTTTTTTTCCAAAAATCTACCCATGAAGACTGAATTTTTAGCGAACTATGAAAAGGAATGCACTTCGGTTAAGTCACTGGAAAATTTTGACACACCCAAGCAAAAGAGAAATGTCCTAAACGACTTAGAATTTCAGTATCACTTCAACAGGCTTTCCAATGAAACTTTTTAAAAATAAATTAGTTTCAACAGTTGTTTCAAAGGTAATTTTAATAGTTTCTTGTGAATCAGTTCCAAATATATTAGAGATCAACATCATTTTCTCAAACTTTGTAACTGCGGTCAAATATATGGGTTATATATCATACAAACATTTCCCCTCTAGCAATTACCTCCATTGGAAAGTGCCTCTCCTTAAAATAAAGAATAAAGACTCACCTTCCAGGTACTGCGTTATGTTTCATGGAAGAAAAAAAAAAAAAGACAAAAAAATTTATAAATATGAATTTGCCTCTAAACAAGGCAAAGTACAATTTCATCACTTGTATAAAACAATAACATGAAGATCACCCTGTTTTGTCTTCTCCAGTGAAAAGTAAAATGTTTCGCTTCGAGCATGAACAAATGAAATGCTGGCATGCTTGCTTAAATTCTGAGCGACAGGTACGGCTGAAGGTATTTCAAAGACAAGAAATCCAGTTTCCATTCTAGATTAAAGTGCTATCCTCTTGCAAGATGGCCACGAACAGCCTCGATTTCAGTTCACATTGTGCCGAAGGTTTTGCATGTCGCTGGCAGATGCTTTAGGTAACAAAAATAGCATGTTCACAGTATAAAACAGGGTGTGTGTGGAAGTCAGGTGATTTCCCCAAAGGAAGCCAAGATCTTGTAGTATTTGCAGGAAACCAAGAACCAGCCCAGGGGGGCAAAAACAGCAAATTGACCCTTTTAATAAAAGGTACCAACACTCAAATGCTCTTAATAAATACATACATAACACAGGTGAAGAAAAAAGGTAAAAGTAACTAGAGTGAGATGAGGTTTTCCAAAAAAAAAAAAAAAAAAAAAACAC